AAACGGCAGCTTATAATAATCTCGACGGTGTTCATGGGCTGGCCGGATGGCGGTACGCGAAGTTCGCGTGTAATATTCAGGTCGCTAAATATTTGCTAGATGGCTCATGATTGTTGATGCTATCGTGTAAATACCATTTTCTAAGCTGAAGTATCAAGATTAAAATGTCTTGCAGAACCATCCCAATTGCCCTATTCGGATTCATTTTCCTTCCCAATCTACCGTGGGCGGCGAAACCGTCTATTCTTCTGACTCAGCAGGTATTTACTGCTAGTTCCTTGCAACATTTTCAACGTACTGAATGAATCGCATCACAGGACATTGACATTGCACGAGCGAGGATGAAGGCAGTAGGGAGGAAGGAGAGCGAACCATGGAGTAAAGCGAAGGTTTGCCGGATTTCCCAGAGGCCAAGATCCGATCTAACCATACGAATAGCTGCGTCGGATTCTCACCGGATGGTATATCTGGATTCTGCCCATTGAATATGTGCTTTGGAACAACGGTAGCGCCCAAACTCCAGGTATAGTGCCTTCTTATCCTGATTGGGATCTCTGCTGTGATACACCTCCTCATTCACCTCACCAGTCCAATTCTGGATGAAGTCTTTCAACGTCAAGCCATATCCTGTCCCAGGCACACACTTCACCGTGTCTCAAATCCAACTGTGTTCGTGTAACTCAACATTGTTTTGTGTATCATGTTCATTATTTTCCTTCAGTGCCCCTCCCTGCGACCGCGATTTTTGTCGTCACCGCCCTAATTCTGGCATGGGTCAGCGATGGACCTGCTAAAGGTAAGTAGGCTAGCTTCACCTTAGACAGAGACGTTTATTTTTGTAGGGCTCAGATGGCCATTCGTCGTTGCGGGGGCCGTGACAACTCTAATTTTCGACACCGTGTGGCTTACGATGCCGCTATATTCCAGCATCCGCGGGCATTTCGCATATTTCTACCTGATGACGCTCGGGGTAAGATTGCGGAAATCTCATTAGGAGATGGCTGACTATTGCGCAGACAACCGCGGGGCCCCTGATCCTCAACTGGATCAGCGAAATCACTCAGGCAGACGTGAGCAATTGTTCACATGTCTCTCAAGATGTGGTTGATTTTTGGCCCTCAGAATGAGCTCCGTGCCATCTGTGTCGCATTGGGCAACGACTTCGCATACGTCGTCCAAGCCATTGCGCCCAATTTTGTTTGGAAAACTACGAATTTTCCTCGCGCAACGAAAGGATATCATTGGTCCATCGGTTTGTTCCCGCTTTTGAACCTGCCTTGAAGTTCGCTCATCAAAGATTCAGTTCTTCAATTTTTGCTGAGTACTGTGCCTGCAGAATCTCGCTCTATTCACGCTGACTAACCACCTTCAGTTGCTTGGACGTGTTTGATTCTTTTCCTTCTTCGGCGAGACAGAAGGAAGGCAGCTGCACGCGACGAAAACAGGCCGGATTCGATTGGAAGTTTGGAGACGGCAATTCACATACCTGGATCGGATCTTCCCCCGAAACTCTGACATGAGGACTTACGATGAGAATTATGAACCAATATGAGAGGATCTGCAATACATTATTTAGAATTGTCGGCCGGGGTGCTCGATTCAACACGGAACATCGAATTACCATATACAGATGATGTCATCGCAGAGAATTGTCAAAGGTGCTTTTCGAAGCGGTATTCGAGCCCAGCTCACTGAGAAAATTCGGGCCACCGGCCCTGGTCTAAATTGAACGTTTGCCGGGGCATCACAAGCTCAGGAAATTGCGATATGTATCACGAAACTTTCGCAAGTCATAGGTTCTTATCGCGAGAACGTTTTCTGGTTCCATTCGTTCTTCATATGGCGTGCTTTCATGCAGGCTTTGTAACGCTAAATTGAGACTATATAGAGGCGTTATGTGTTGTGCGAATATTCATCCTCATTAACGAGTCCGCAATGTCGCCAGTAGCAACTGAAGTCAACACCCCCACCCCCGCGCACCAGGTTATTAAAGCGGGCCCTATAACCCCAGTCTATCCGAAAGAGGACGCGAACTTCAAGCGCCCGCCGGCCAACACCCTCCGGCGCTACGAGAAAGCAGGGATTGATATCTCGCGTATGTGAACCTCAGATTGCGATTACCTGTATCATGATTAGTTGAATGTTATCGTTCAAATAGAGGGATATCCGTACCTCCCGAACAAGCCTGAGTTCGTTCAGGACGTCGAGAAACTGCAGACCGGGCTGCGCGACTACGTCGACCCCGGCTCGCGTGCAGACCCGGAGAAGAAGGCGCTCTTCAGCGCGGCCAAAGAGGTCAATGACCTTTCGATCCACGTCGGCGTGCGTCTTCCCTTTCGTCGATCTAAACAACCGAGTTGACAAGTTTCAACCAGACCGAGATTGTTGGACTCCAGCTCGCCGAGCTAAACGACAAACAGCGCGATGAACTGGCATTGCTCGTCGCGTACGTCCCATCATCTCATCTCTCAACATATTACTAACAGCCGGTTCGAACTTTAAAGCGAACGCTCTGTCGTCTGTGCGTGCTCTGCTGGATTTATCTTCATTTAACTGACCCATCCATTACAGTCTTCCGTAACCAGGACCTCTCGCCTCAGAAGCAGAAAGAGCTCGGCGTTTACCTTGGTGATGGGGAGATTGAAATCCACCCTCAGGTCGGTCCTCCCTCCTTTTATTTTGCTTGGGTACTTACTGAGGTTTTCCCGCAGGTCCCTCAGGTTCCCGGTGTCCCAGGAGTGACACTCATCTGGGAGAAAGCACGCGAGTACCAGATTGCGAAGCCTAGAGGGTTCAGGGACGCGTATCCCTCAGGGAACTACGGCTGTGCGTCGTTGTTTTCATCCTTCAAAACTGTTAATAACCTCGTTAATAGGGCATACGGACCTGGTGCACCTCGCGTTCCCCCCGGGCTACACGCATCTCCACCAGGATACCGTGCCAGAGGTTGGCGGCGATACACTCTGGGTCAGTCCATTCACTTTGTAAACCCCCGCAGGCGCAGAATTGAAGTTCCTGAATGACAGGCGTCGGGTTACTCCGCATACGACAAGTTTTCGCCAGCTTTCCGTAAGCTCATCGACGGCCTGAAGTGAGTGTTCAACGCAAGTACCTGGAGACAATCTGACTCTGCTTTCCAGCGGAATCTACCGCTCTGCGCATCAGTACAAAGACGCCGAGAACCCCAGCGCCCCTCCGCGCCATGTGCACATAGTCCACCCGCTGGTAAGTTCTAGAAAAATGATTGAAATAAAATAAGAAATACTGATTGGCCCTGGATTAGGTCCGCACGCATCCCGTTACAGGATTCAAGACCGTTTTCGCGAACCGCGCCATGACCGTCGGCATTGAAGGGTTCGACAAGGCAGAGAGCGACGCGATCTTGAACCACATCCACGAGTACGCACTCAGCAAAACCTGATCGATGCGTGGTTCTAACAAGTCCACCGCTACAGCGTGTACGAGAGGTCAACCGATCTGCAGATCCGTTGGAAGTGGACGCCCGGGACGTCGGCGATGTGCGTATATTATTTGTGATGTGGCTTTGGCGCCGAGACTCACAGACAATTGTAGTTGGGACAACCGCACGACAATCCATACGGTGTCGTTCGACTATGAAGGCAAAGGCGAGCGGCACGGCACCCGGGTCAGTTCGCTCGCGGAGAAGCCGTTCTTCGACCCCAAGTCAAAGTCGAGGCGCGAGACTTTGGGCTTGGACTAAATTCCTTCATGTAATCAGTGTACACTTATGAACCAAACACAGCATTCGGATTTCAGCCTGAAACTTTTCGTGAATGAGACGTCCGTCCAGGGTTCTATTAATAAAAGCTGTAACTCTACCGTATAAAGTCGCCCGCAAACTAAATAGTCTTCAAACACGATAAGATAGGGATAAGGGAGAGTCAGATCGATCCAGTATACATTCTTTCGTTCAAGATACCCAACTTCGTCGTACATATGGCATACATCCGGCAACCGCATCACTCGGATGCATATTGCTGGGTCCACTCGCGGCTGACGCGCTGCGCGTCCTTCTCGTTTTCCTTGTAGTGCTTGGCGACGTCCGGCGCGAGGGGGTCGTCTGGGTTGGGCGCACTGAGGAGCGCTTGGACCGAGAGAAGGACCGTGCGGATTTGGAGGGCAGGAGACCATTTGTCTGTCCATCCAAATTGAGCACCTGTAGGAGCAAAGGGGAGTGGACGGACCTTTGAGGATATCCAGACAGATCCGACCGAGTTTGTCTTTGAGCACACGAGAGTCAGCTAGGCGGGCGGTAAGTGCAGACCGGGAGGCCAGAGCTCACCAATGTTGGGGTGGTAGATCTTGGTGAGGAATCGGACCTTCGGAGGCGCCATCGGGTACTCTTCTGGTAAGAAGAGCTCGAGCTTGAAGATACCCTCTGGAATCAATGTGTGTCAATCTGGCAAGTCCCAAAGAGCGTCGAAATGATTGAAACGACTGTGCTCAAGTCGAGCAGAAGGCGATAGGAGGGGCGAGGGAAACGTAAAGGAAGGAGAAGGAGGACATTGACCACGCACGCTGGAATGGGCTGCCATCCGGACCCTGGATCGTCACGTCGAAATACCGCAGGTTATCGTCGTGAGGCGCAGCCGTTATACCGGGTGCAGGGTCGGCCACCAGCCGCTCTGTTTCCTGCGAGTTTCTGTCCTCAGAAGCTGCTCAGCGTGCGTAAGGGACAGGGAGCACCTTGATTATGCGCTAATCCGATAAGAATGGCGAGCACTTGCATGAGTCCAGGGTGAAGAATAGAGGTATTAGATTCGGATAGACTTGCCTTGGGGAGGGACATGAGAGTATGGGAGTGAGAGGGGAGGGACGAGGAGGGAGGAGACGACGACAGAAATCGAGAATGCTTGGTCAGCACGGCTACCCTTGTCTCATGCCACCACCGGTTCCGACCTCCGTACAAACTGGCGTCGTTCTCTTCAGTTTCTGTAGCATCTGTATGATTTGACCCTCTTCCGAACTCTAGTCTTCAATCAGATATGGTATAGTGGCAACATGTCCTCATTTCTTTCCGAAGGGCAAGAAAAGCTATTATACATAGGGGAAGCTCGCAGTTCGATTCTGTATATCTGAATGTTTATTTTTCTGTCTCTAGTCTAGTTCTTCGGGGCTTTCTGGAGCATATTTTTCTTCGCCTTTCCAATAATATCGTCTCGCTCTACGCGCTGGCTTCGACCCTGCTTTGGCCATCCTTCACTGGGAAACACGAATAAACCTGCGTTGGAATAACTCGGACATCAGGCACTCAGCACTTGTTCTGTCATGCTGCCACGTTGCCATCCAAGTTTAAATCTGGCACGCCCTAATTCCGCCGCCCTCGCCTTATAATGCAATCAGGAAATTAGTCCTCGGTCCGTATCTTGGGCCATGCATGTGTGGCTTACTGACTCTCGCATGGTACACCCGCTATGAACTTCGTTGTGCCAAAGCAGAATATACTCGAGACACGCAAATCGGTTTGTGTCAATTCTAACTTTGAAAGACTAGTGCTCCCTTACTTTCCTTTGCTCTCGTGATTGACGTCGACAGACAACTTGAACGATTCAGGGCTGAATTAGACTTTGGTACATAACATGTTCATCTGAACACCGCCCGGCGGGATCTTCGCTGATCTTCGCAAGATTTTCGTCCAGAACCAGATGACCCCCAGACAAGTCCGGAATCACATCAGGTCCCAAGTCTACGGACCTATTCGGGCAAGCTTCTCATTCTCAAAAGTTCTACAATCCCTCTGGAGGTTCGCATTCTGGGTCTGGTATTTGAGTTTCCCCAGATTCACATACTATATATCGACTGTGAACAAATATAGGGATCCTCTGAACTTGTACGCACCCGCTCATCTCCGTCGCGTACTCGCCAAGCCCGCCCGCAACGTCCTTCGGGTTGTACCCAAGCCTTACTGAGAGTCCGAGTGCCCCGAGCTCCATGTTCAGCAACCGCTTCGGCGATGTCGCCGTGGCCATGATTGGCTGGTTGGCTCGATGGACCCTACCTGATGTGCGCCCACATGTGGCAGCACGACACCGCGCTGCCCGGTGCGCACTATCAATATCACAAGCAAGACAATACCCGGGGTGGACTTGTCGCGAGCCATGTACCTGCAACATTTCCACCGCCACTGCGACGCGTTTTAGGACTTGTGTGCGCGTTGTATCGCAGGGGGGGTATTTTAACCACAGGGTGGAGCCTGGTGGAGCGCATCGATTTATCTCAGTCTACAATTGGCTGGCGCATGCTGTGCTGTTCTGAACTTCCTGGCAATCACACATACTTACTACTTACTGCCTCTCAGACTAGTGCTCATCAAGTTCATGCGTAGAGTATGGAATCCAGGGTAGGCCTGGATCCACTTGAACTCAAATTTTCCTCAGCTCAATTATTGATTCCCCCGGGCCAGTCAGTAGCTCGCAAAAATGTCTCAGGGCACGCAACGATAACGGAGATGAACCTCAAACCAATTATTGTCAACCAATCAGAGCTGGAAGAGGGCGGTGCCTGACGGGAATTGCGCGACGCGTGCCGTTCCATGTCTCCATGACCGTGTTCGTCCTGTGCCTCCGCAATCAGATGGTACAATTAATCATACCAAGGGGTTGGAACAAATGCAACAAGGGCACACAAAATGTAGTGTCTTTACTGAGTGTCTTGTTGCTGGCGAGTTTTCTTGCCTTGGAAAACCAAACTAATACTGATTGGTGCCAAGGAACGGTACACTTCGTTGACTTTCCATTTCATAAACTACCGTAAAATGTACGTGATTCTGCCAACTGTTCCCCGTATACGGTTTGCCGGAAGGACGCGGATGAAAACAAAACAAACATTGTTTGGCACTGGAATTTCCACATTGGGAACTGGTACATAGATCAATGTCATATTCTCTATGAGTGCGCTTGAAGAGATAACGGGGGCATGGTGCATGGGCGGGCAAGTGCGAACACGTTCGGGCGCAATCGGGCTGTTATTTCACATTATTCTGTCTTGTATTTGTTAAATCAACGCGTCGCGACGCGTCCATGACGGTCACCTCACCCATCTTCTGTCACACCGCGGCGAGTTTTCGCCCCGCGGGGCGAAAAACCGGCTATTTGGGTTTCCATGGCCGGAAGCCGATATGCCGAACCTTCCAAGGCTGGAGGGTTCGACGTGGCCTCCTTGTGGCCTCCACTCACCATTTTCTTTTGTCCTGCTACCAGTGTTTCGAACCATTCACTCCGAAGCTGGTGTGGTCATCGTATTCTCCACCCGACGCCCCGCTAACAAGTCCGCAGGAAGCCGTGGGGTCTACAGTACTTGGCGTACGACTTGGTAGCCAGAAGGGGTGTGCTGGGGCATCGGAGGTTGATCGGAGGTCGTTATTGAAGCGTGAGTCATTGCTCACGATTTTGACTGCCAGCGCGAGATTGCGGTCGACCGTGTTCTGAACAACGGTGACCATCCATGTCCTGGTGTTCCAGTCCCGCTTTCTTCACCGCCACCGAGTCCCGAACATGTCGTCAGCACACATCACATACGTCGCCGTCCTGCGCTTTCCCATCTGCACCATCGAGCACATTTCCCTCACCTGCGCGCCATGCTCCCGTGCCGTGCACTCAAAACCGTCGGCGCATTCGCTGGGCGTTGTGCGTGCGCGGCTCTGAGCTGGACGTCCATGCCCTGCTGCTGGCCAATCCCGCCTGCGCCTGGACCGCCTCCCGGGAGGTCGTTCCGCAATCGCGTGCAGTCCTGAAACGCATCCGTAACACCCTGGGCGTCAAGCAGAGTCTGGTGGTGGAGATTTCGCGCTTCTGACGTCTCCCATTCGGAGCACGCAGTCGAAACCCAGTCAGCGCAAATCGCAAGCAGTCGTAATGCCTGAGCTGAGTCCTACCAAGTGGCGGCTGCATCGTGAGAATCGAGTGGGTCACTGCTGCACTGCGTCTCGCTGTGTCGTTCTGGGGTCATTTGCATCCCTCGCGTCGAATCGCACCGAGCGAGTCGTGGGGGTTGTTCTGAACACCTTACTTCGCCGAGTCGAATCGCACGGAGAAAAGCATGTTGTATGTACATAACTAATCATAGTAGAATCCATCTGGCTGGAGAAGGGGTCGCGGTAGGGCCAGAAGATGAACAGAAATGTGATGAGATTTGAAGAAAATGTTGATTTCTGCAGAATGTACAAGACAAGTATATTGTAACTACTGATCGTCTTCATCACTGGAATCCCCGGCTTCCAGTTCCAGACGCTTGCAGAAGGTGTTGCAATCGTGCTGTGCACGCCAGCGGTCAATACCCTTCGAGCCGTGGTCTCCAACTCCGGATGTCCTGAGAATGGTGGATCAGTGATAGAACGGGGAACGGAAAGAATGAGTGTACTCTTCGGGTGAGTGGGTCATCGGGTCAAAGATGAGAATCCCCATCTTGTTCGTGCTAAGTCTTCCGACCGAACCTAGGATTGATCAATATCTGAACAATGTATAGTGTGCACTTGAACATACCCTGAAGATCCGCAAAAAGTATTGTCCCATAGCTGTGTTGAAATGCAAAATGTACCAATGCAGCCAGAGTGTGCGCGAGCTGTCCAGTGCCGGCTGGGTGGTCCATGGTGCCAGTATAATGAGTTACTGCTGCATTGCGAAGTGGCTCAATGAACCACACGATCTTGCCATTTGGAGTCGACTCCAGTACCTCGGCCGCAATATTTGACGCCGACGAGGGACTTTCGCCAGTTGGAACCACCTCCTCAGCAAGGCGACACTGGGAGATTTCGAAATCTGCAGCTAAAATGAGTGAATGTATTCCCATTATTGGCAGGACAGCGTACTCTTCGCAGTTTCCACATTGCCGACCTCGGCAGCTTCACGGAACTTTGAGAGGAACCACCGCATGATCTCGTAACGCTCAATTTCATTTCTGAGCTCCCGGTGGTTCTCAGCTAAGGTGACTTCGTCGACACCTCGTCCAATCTCAAAGAACCATTTGACAACGTATTGTTCATCACCGATGGACATCTGAAATATAGAAAATGGTTAAGGAACAGAATGAGACGTCAAGATTGAGTAAGTACCTTGTAGCAGCGCTTCATCTTACCACTCTGGAAAATGTCATTGGCGACCAGAGCTTCGGTGAGTGTGTCGTCAGTAGGCCAGGTGATCGTAGTTTCACTGGAATCCGGATTAACAGTGATATCGGCAAAGCGGAGTTTGACAGTTGTGGAGTTGGCGGGATCTGGGCCAGGAAGCTGGCGGACGAAGTTTGTCTCGACAGTGCCAGAAACTATGTAGTATTGGGGCAACATCAGACTATGGTCCATTACAATGAACGAAAAGCGACTGACGGCGGGGACGTTTGGAGATATTTTCGGCATCTTCAGGTGCGGGTTTACTTGTTGATTTACGCTTCTTGACAGTAGTCACAGCCTTTGATTTCTGCGAAATAATCTCAACCCTGATACGAGAGAGTAGAAAAAAAACACTGCTTACCGACTGCTGATCTCCGGTTGTTATATACAGCTCGATGGCGACAACCTTGCCTTTCATCGCAGCAGCATACTTCGGCATTTTGGAGAAGTAGGCCTCCCAAGACGCCGAACTTTTGTGAACTGAATAAAAATCAAGGATAGGGTAAAACTGGGTGTCTGGAAGGATATTCTGGTTTCCGTGGAAGCGAAGCTCGGCGTCCTCACTGCATATATCAGAATCATTGTTCAGGTGAAATGGAACTGGAACATACAGCAACAAAGCAAAGACACGGGTCTTAAGCCAAGGAATATTCCAACCATCGATAAGGTCACGCATGATCTCCAACACTTGTGTATCGGGAGGATATGCACGGGACGTGAATCCCAAACCCTGATCAATCTTACCATTCACTCGAGCCTCAGCGTACACCTTGATGCAATCCGCATCATTGAAACCAACATTCCGGAACTTGTCCAATGCTGCAGTGTTGAGGTCAATGGTAGGCTGCGGAGGTGCGGCAGCAAGAGCGTTGGGTCTCGGTGGGCGGTTGATTCGGTTTTGAAAAGCACTGCTACGAGCAGCAACTGCGACGTTCAAACCGTGGTTGATGGCACCTGCAGCAGCTAATGCTGAATAC